TAAAAGTTTCAGTTTTAAGTCATTCATCTCTTGGTCGTGTTTGATGGACAGCTTCTTCTTTTCTTCCATCTTTTCTTCTTTGGGTTGTGTTGAGCGATCCAACTCTTTCATTCGGTCTTCGTGCTTTTTCTTTAAGTTACCAGTTTCTTCTTTCTCTTCTTCTTTGTTTTCTGCTGACAGCTTTGTTTTTAGTCTGTTTACCTCTTTTTTGTGTGATTCCTGCATTTTTCTGATTTTTCTCTTGTTTTCCTTCTTCTGGGTCAGCAGTACCAGGATTAAATCAGCCATTTCTCCTTTGTGTTTGTCCTGCAGTTCATTTATTTCTTGCTTTCTAACTTTTTCATTGTGTTCCGACAGATTCTTTAATGTTTCATAATCGTTCTGTTTGTCCTGCAGGTTTTTCTTCAGATCCTTTATTTCTTCCATGTGTTTGTCTATCTGAGCTGCAAAGTCCTTTTCCCTTTTCTCATTGAAATCATTGAATTCTTCAGCTTGTTTTCTGGCGTCCTCTTCCGACTTCTTCTGCAAATTCATAATTTCTGTCTTATAGCGCTCCAATTCTTCCCTCACTTTCTCCTCCTGTTCTCTTCTGATTCTGTCCTCTTCCCTTCTTTGATTGTCATGTTTTTCTCTTTCCTGCTCATGATTTTCTTTGAGTTTCCTGAGTGTTTCTTGTTTCTCTTCATCTTCTTGTTTCCGTTTGTCCCTCAGATCATTTCTTTCCTTCTCCCAGGCCTGTTGTTGTTCCCTCATTTCTTCTCTAAAACGTTCCAGCTCGATGTCAATCGTTTCCTTTGATTCCGACTCTGATCTTAATTTTTCCTCCAGATCTGCAATATTTTGTTTCCATTTCTGCTGCTGAATGTCTTCTTCCTCTCTTTTCCTCCTGTCTTCTTCTTCTCTCATTTCTTGTTCTTTCTTCTTCTCTTCAGACTGCTTGTTGATGTTCTCCTGCAGTTCTTGGAGTTTTTTGTCTCTCTGCTGTCTTTCGACCTCCATTTCTGCTCTCTCTTCTTCTATTCTTTTCTTCATTGCTTCCATTTCTTCCTCATGTTTTCTCTCCAGCTCCTCTCTCTCTCTCTTCATCTCTTCTTCCTTCTCCTTCAGGATTCTCTCCATTTCTTTCTGTATCGCTGCTTCAGCTTCTTGCAGCATCTCGTT